ATGACTTCGATATAATAATCTATTATTCTGTTCCGCAGTCCTGCATTACTTTCTACGGTTCACACCTATAGTTTTACGATAAAAATGTATTTGATAAGAAAATAATATATATGGCCGTGATTATACCTTTGTTCGTTGTTTGGAAGTGAATATGATGATAATATACAATATGATACATACATGGGTAGAACAATCACTGAAGTCTAAAACCAGGAAACGTTCGCGTGTACGACTTAATTTATTGGCCACAGCATAATTATATTATAATATTGTTATCATCAATTTTGTATTTCACACATTCACACCGGAATCGAGCTGTACACAAACGGTGTGTAAACGAAGAGCAGGTATGGTATTCCCGAGGAGGAAAAATTGCCGACGTGATTAATATTTTTATTTTAATTATGAAATATAGTTGGTGACGATTTCTATTTAAAATCTGAACAAAAAAACATAGTGACACAATATTGACATTGGTAAGTGCGGTTTACGGCAGTTCACGACTACGACACACACCGAACGCCAATCGCCAGAGATATTTTTTAATATTATAATACATTTATATTTAATTAAAATACAAAAGTGTTATTATATACACAACTAATAAGAATTATAATTGGGGATATGTATATTGTATAATATAGTATGTGTTTGTCAGGTGAAGCGACGTTTTAAAATCGCCTCTCGCGATGTTCAAATTTCACCTGCACAATATTACACACGTCTTGTGAGACTAGGCATATTATATGATCGCTGCGCATGATCGCTTTTCCGAATTCGCTTTTCTCCGAAACGCCGACGCCTCGGATGTCCGAAATCCCTGATATGTTTAATCGTTGTTAGTGTACCTCTGTACCTACATGCCATTGAACTCTATCGTATATATATATATATATAGGTACCGAATGGTCAACCGCATCAATCGCGAATAAACGGTGGTTTTTAAACAATATATTATGAAAGATTATCGCGGGAACCTCGGGACTTCGAAAACCCAATCCATATGTCTTTATGGAAGGGTACCTACCACCAATAGTTGCGTTGCCACCTCAAAAATGTAAAGTCATCAGAACCGCTATACTAGCGAGGAGCGATGAAGACTGCCGCAGCTGCCACGGCGTCTTTCGGGCAAAAAATAGGCGTCGAAAACATAATGGTTTTAAACACGTAATCGCGGTCGTACACAAACACAAAAGCTGTAGCGGGTGTATTACCTCCGCGTTATCTGGAAAACACGATCAAATCGCCTTTTCGTGTGCACCGCCGTATCGGTCGGCAGGTCGTTATCATTCGGCGTGATGCCGGCTGTATATAATATACAAAACTGTCGGATCGAGCGCAAAAGGGTTAAGGATAAAATACGTGTGTGTATATAGAGCTCGGTCGACAACTGCGCGAACGGTTGCCAGGCGCTGAAAACAATGTATATAATATATATATATACCAACACACACACACAAACACATATATATATTTATATACATATATATATGTGTGTGTGTACATACAGCTAGGGCTCAGCTGATACGGGTTTTCCGGTAGTAGAAGCGGTGGCGGCGGCGGTTGCCCGGGCCACGTTAATTGTGCCCGAAAACGACGTTATCCTTCCATCCCCCTCCGACCGTCCACCCCCGTGTCGTCAACGACCCCTCTCGCGGACTACGACCTACGAGCCATATATATATATATATATAAACATTAAACGCGTGTACATGGAGTGTGTACGCTGTACCAAACGTGCCACGAATTCGGCAAACAAACAATTTCGGTCGGTTCCTATATATATATATATATATAATAAAATAAAATGTAGGTACCTAAACGTGATAGTATCGTTTGCCGGAGTTTGCGCGCTGGAAGAAACGGCAGCCGGCTAAGGAGATGAGGTTATAAGTTTCTCTCCCGCAAAACCGTAGTCGCACAGTACGTGTTTATATTATATACATAATATATAATGTAGCTGGTGTGTGTGTACAAGCCACGACCGACCGACGACGGAGACGTTTTATATACATATTATAGTATGGGAGTTAAGAGTGTTATTACGTGTGTTAAATTGTATCGCAGAAAGTTTGCCATTTTAAGGGTGGTAAAATATTTGAATCATTGAGCGAAACCAACGGGATATTATAATATTTATAAGAGATTTGTAGAAGCATCCATCTCGAACCAATACTTATTGTTCGGAGCTCCGTTTGGACATGGAAACTAAAAAAAATCGTAAGTAAATTTAGGCGGACAAGACGTGTGAATTCTATTTTTATATAAAATATTAAAACATTATTATTTTGTACAGATATATTATTATTCGCACGTATTTCATTCTCTTTTTCTCAAGCAGTTTTTACAAAACATAATATTTAATACGCTTTTAAAGATGTGTTTATCAATACCTTTTTTTATCTGCGTGAAGTAATCGCACACAATGGCTTAGTGTCGATGGATAAATCGGTAAATTTCATAAAAAAAACTTTCACAGCGAAATACTTAAAATATACCACGTGGTACAATATACTACCCGACTACAGCTGTACAAAGCGAGAACTCGGAAGAACGATATACCTATATATATATAATGCTCATAATATGCTCACACACGTTTGCTGTTAAAGTCCCGTAGGCACTTTGTACGACAAATCAAAATCTGACGTGTACGATCGAAGACACATCCGAAACGTCAGAAAAACCAATGACGAGGAAGGCAGAGAGGAATGACGACACGACGTTTTTAACGCATTTTCATGGCGATAACTATATGCATACGACCGTCATGGTGGTGGTGAGAGGGAGGGTTTACTGCCTCGGTACACGTATTACTAATTATTATTATTCACTGTATAGCCATTATTAGTGTTTCCATTAGTTAGGTGCCATTGTTATTATATATGTATGTATTTTTTTTTCTAATAAAAGTGAAATTATTGGAGCGATTATAATTATATATTATTATATTATCTAATAATACGTAATATGATTATTAAAAAATAACACATGTTTTCTATATGGTTTTACATAAACACGTTCGTTACCAGCACTCTACCTATAATAACAATAATAATATATACTTATAAATAATAGTTTAATTAATTACACTTATGCGAAATGTAGTTTATACGTTTTAATTGTTTTAACATGACGAGTCCCACATATATATTATATACATATAACGTTATTCGTATTCCCTATGACCGTGTACAAAGTTTGCTTATTAATAATATTATATAATTCGCCGTCCCGGACACACGATCGTTCTAGACAATAAACATTTTGAAACATTAATTATCATACACTTCAACGGTCCGGACTTAAGCATTCGTTCTAGATTATCCCCAAACTATATATGGTGGTCAATAGTGGCGTATAACAGTATCGATAGAAATACTCGGCAGTGAGGGTTGCCGAGACAGCGTCCCATTCGTTTAAAGCAAACAAATGATACAATTGGAATGGGTTTTCGGAAAACATTCTGGATAGAAATGAGTGGTTGTTGTTTCGAAACAAAATGCATATAGATGCTTTTAAAGTACAGAGCGCCACTGCGCCCGAAAACAATAATGCCCATCTGACAAATAATAATATGCCATTAACAATAGAACGCGATTCGTATCCAAACAGATTATACGAAAGATCAAAAAGTTTACTATCGTGCAGCAAACTGTTATTTTAATAATACTGCACATTTCTCAGCTTTCATAAAATATTATATTATTCCACTAACTTTTAAATAATTGCTTTAAAACAATTTTTGACGAATATTACCAGTACACAATGGTCTGTTGTTTTTAATTATTAATATAATATCATCAATTGTATTACGAAGTTTATAAAATAAATATAACAGCATTTTTTTTTTTACAAATGGTTAACTTATCTACTGCTTATGGGCAGTATTAACATTGTCTTAAATACTTGTCCAAATAATTACAATTATTTTATTCATTGTGGGTAATTTTCACCAGGCTAATATACGATTCAACAATACTTTATTTCACAAAATTACACTTATATCTATTATAATACGGCTATAATATAAAGCTTGAAAAAATGTTGTTTAAAAAAGTAATGCACAAATATATAAACTGATAAAACATTATTGTACAGTATAACAATTTCAAAATAATCTCAATCATAATGTAGGTAACAGTTGAATTTATTTTCTCTCATATTAGATTCATTAGTCTAATTTATTATACATTTATTAAATATTTTATTGGTAAAATAATCATAATAACAGCTAAATAAAAAGATCAAAGTCAATTCGAGATGTTTATCAGTACGTCCGTACACTTGCATCCTCGTAATGTGTTACTAGACTTCTAAAAAATACCAGTTAATTAATGATTAAAGGGGAGTTCATGAATAAGACATGAGTATTTTCAAAGTTTTATGTCTGATCGTTGTGCTCTTGATAACAGAATAAAAAAAAATCGATAACCTTATTATTTCGGAGAAAAAACTGTGTTATTTGTTATATAATTTTGCAACATGAAAGAATACTCTGAATCTATACACAGCGAGAATTGAACTCGCATATCCAGTAACTGTTATGTTTGATATAATTTTATCAATTAATTTTTTTTTAGTTCCTAAGCAATATATTGATTGATATACTCATCAGCACTAGGTACTTATATTATAGATTCAATATGTATAAATATTACATAACATAAATAATATTAAAAGTATTACAGTAAGTTTATAAAATGACGTGTCGGTACCTATATATACGATCGAAGCACGTGTATCGATGTACCTCACGAATATTCATTAGCGCACAGCAAGCAGTAAAAAGATCGATCATTAAAATATTAAAAAACACTTGATTCATTGATTTTTAGTTTAATTATTCGTGTCACACACGCCAATCTCGACGGAGACGACGACGACGACGACGACGATGTATAATATAATAATTAATAATCCAATAAGGAGGAGTTGAAAAATGTAATCAAGTACCTGTAAGTGTATAATGTATTTCATCGTCCTCCCCCCCCACCATTTCATCCATGCCGATCATCGTTGTAGTCCATAATTGTATGGAAATCGTCGTTTACAAACCGCTCCACCATCTCTGTCGTCGACAATCCTGCGATGGAGATCTCGTTACGGTTCGAACGAGGCGCAATCAAATCAACCATAATACGATTTACAGCACGTACCCGACTAATCGGGTCGTTCCAGTCGGGTGGCGTAGGGGTCATGCCGATTTACGCGACGGTTTTCGTATTTATTTTGTTTCGTTTAATTTTTTTTCTTCCGCTCGTATATAAATATTAAAACATAATCACAATAAATAACACATAAATAACGTCGCTGCGATGCACATCAACGTCTCGGCAGAGTGCAGACGTGACGTTTACCTAACACCGTGCGTATTGCATTACATTATTATCCAGATACAAAGAACACATTTCACGGTTGCAGCGAATCGTGGGAGACTTTTATGCGATTTTAATTGCTCACACGATTTTACTGGCTTGCACTTAGCGAACACGTCACTTAGCTTAATAATAATAATAATAATATCAGTTAAAATAATTAGGTACCTAAATAATATGTGGTTGTTGGTTTTTTTATTATTATTATTATTTTTTTTTTTTTTAACGCAATTTATTAATAGCCTCCTCGCTGTTGTATTATTACTTCTCGGTATACTCTGTTATATTGGACTTGTCGATAAAGCCACATGATAGCGTATATACCGTAATGAAAATTAGTAATTTTTTTTTTCAATTAGTTGCGCTATATGATGTGCCCGGGCTATTACATCCCCATATATATATATATATTATATATGTATAGTGAAAATCAATTCATTACATGTTTAATCTTCTGCCTACGCAAGCAAAAGTTTCCTGAAGCTCGTATAACCCGGATCCAATTTCATTAAGTCTCGCGGACGTCTTTCGGTGTACAATGATGTTTAGAATGTACACTGCGCTACTAAATTAAATGTTGTATAAATAATCTCTCTGATTATTTAGTAAAGAATCATTCTTATATAATATTGTTCAGCATTGATATTATATTATTTGTATAGTTGAAATTTCTTCGAGTAAAACAAATTACTCATTAAGGCGTTTAGTCATTACTTACTCCTTTTCAGTCATTTCAATATACACGCACCTATATTTTATGTGTCTTAATATATCCAAGCACGCTTCAGGTCGAATCAGGCTATATAATATTCAAAATCCAATATTCATAATATTATTATCTAATAAATACGTTTGAATAGAAAAAGTAGAGTTTATTGATATTTAGTATAATGGGTACCTACGTATTGTATACAGCAAAAAGATAAATATTAAATAACATTAAAAATAATAATATTAAATCATAAACATTTTGCATGAGTGTATTGCATATTATAATGTTATAAGTATATTTGATATACGTATAGTACCGTTACATATTATTTGGTGAAGTTTGGAGATTGAACGGTTATCTGCAAATCTCACTTAACCTCACCTAACCTTACCTAGGTTACTAGGTAGATTAGCTATTAGGTCATAATCGTTCGATAGCACAGACGATGTGTTACACTCGAGTCTTAAAAAACATATTTTTTTCTTTCTCTGAACTATACCCAACGCGTTTAGTGTTTACTCGTCACGGTGATAGTACTAATTAATATTATTATAGGAATGAATCATACGTATAAGAAAAATAGCTCGTCGACAGTTGTTCGCGTTCTAGACAGAAATACACGACCTCAGATTTGTAGGTACACATCGCATATTATAATAGAATTGTATGGTTTGCTGCGCCGTCGCTGTTGGGGGGGGGGGATCCGAATAAGTTTTTCCGTTTTCCACCGACAAAATGTGAGTTGAAAAACATTAAATATGATTTTCCATGCCGCGGACCACAGTCGTCATCGTCCATGCAACAACACAGCTGCAGACCGTATAATAGTTCTCGACCGGGTCACAATATGATTTATATTCACGGGACGTGCATTCCGCCGCCGTGTACATATTATTATAATATATGTGTACATTATTGTTGTATATCAGTAGATTGCACGCGTAAAGTGCGTGCGGGAAAAAAAACATAAACGTGATCATTAATCACCTATACGAGGAGCACTCGTATTGCATAAACACGACGCCGTATCGCCATTATTATTATTATTTTTTTTTTTTCCACTGGTCCGGCGGAAAAACTTCCGGGAGACGCGTCGCCGGTGTTGCGCCGAGTGTTGACAACTCGTTTTTTTCCCCGCCGCTACGTATAGGTACAATATCACAATATAGTATGATAATAATATCGTAATATATTATCATCACGATAACAATAATAATATTATATTATATATTTATACATAGGCATTCAGTAATCTGACGTGCGCTTTGTGTTGTGTATAATAATATTATTATATCGATGATTTTACAATATAATAAAATTCGACGTGAGCGCGTTATATAAAATATTAAAATAATATTATACAAATATTCGCGATTTTATGTATCGAATTACGGTACACGGCCGTTGATTGACAATCCGTCAGGACCATCGGAGCGCACAGCACAAGTCTTGATATTATTGTAATCCATCGCTCGTCATGCAACGTCAAAGCTGCTTCCACCGCCTCCACCATAATAATATTATCAATATCACGGCGATGATGATAATAATAATAATAATATGGTGTCCCTAAACTGTCTTGTCCATATAATGCTTTGTCCGATTACCGGAACGTGTTTTTTTTTGTCTAAATCTCGAAAAACGTGTCTTCACGCGTATTAAAATAAATCCAGTTGACATAATATTAAGAGGACGCTACACCCGCATGTGTTGTCTCCGTCTTACACACGTACGACATAGACAAAACGCGTTTAGGCAGTCTGAGTATAACTCGCTCAATTTTGGTTCTAGAGTAAAAATACCTATTATGAAATTGAATTGTGATAATATTTCTAAGGGCAAGACGCTGCGGTTTTTTTAAAAAATTTAATTTTTTAAAAGTCAAAGGTATTTTAAAAATGGTGAAATTTTTTCTATTTCTAAACGATATAATGAACGTTATATTGGGTATAATGGAAAAACCGCAGCGTCTTGCCCTTAGAAATATTATCACAATTCAATTTCATAATAGGCATTTTTACTCTAGAACCAAAATTGAGAGAGTTATACTCAGACTGCCTAAACGTGTTTTGTCTATGTCGTACGTGTGTAAGACGGAGACAACACATGCGGGTGTAGCGTCCTCTTAACTACACGACGTCATTGCAGTCCGATGTCCACGGTATTATTATCTTGCTTCGAAACTCGACGGCACACGGAAGGAGCAATATGTACCTTGCTAATAAGTATATTAATAAAGCGAAATTATTATAACATTATAACCCTAAACGCCGATATTATGTGAGTGCCCGCTAGAATATTATAATAAGTGCTACAGTAATCGTTTTTTGTACAACAGTATATAATATGACGACAACCGGTCGGTTTCCGTATTCGACTAATTGAAGCGTTAATTAGAATGGCGCATCTCATCGACGGGTACAATGGTATTATATTATTTATGAATTATTACAGCTCATACGATAATAATAATAATATGAGGTATGACGAGTGAATCGTGTCTCCGCAGGCATAGGCGCAATTTGGGGGGTGCTTGGGGGTGCTTAGCACCCCCAAAATTCATATTAGCACCCTCAAATTTTCAACAACATCATTTAATTGTTATTGGTTATACACGTATTATGTCATAGACAACAGGATAAATTAATTTCTAAGATTTGACTTATATAATAATAATAATATTTCACTCGTATTTTTTGAATCGTTAAGTCTGGGCGACTGTGCGACGTACATGTAACGTGTTTTATTGTTTATCCTCATTAACTTCCTATATTTAATTTAATTTAAATTATATTTAATTTTATTTTAATTACCTACTCAAGTTGTTATTGTTTTTAAATTTTATTCTGGAAAATACTAAAAATATTTTTAGTATTTTCAATTTTGAAAAAAAGTCAAAAAATGATAATGATAAACACCAAGAAGTAAGTTTTGATATTTATTAAATGAAATAATAAATAATTTTGCTATGTCTCAAAGGCATATATCTTTATTATAATATTCAAATGAAAATAAAAAACGTATTTACCTGTATTATATATTTATTTTTCAATATTAATAATTATTGATTAATCAGGTAGTATTATGAATGCATGAATGGTGTTATGAGGTTGGTGGGGGGCGAAGCCCCCCACGGGTTACTTTGGTCCACATAAATCTAGCACCCCCATAAATTTAGCCCAAATTGCGCCTATGTCCGCAGGTTGTCGTCATCGCTCACCGCAAGTCGCCTATAGTACCCGACAAAGATCTAACAATAATATGTTTTATTTCATAAAACGATCGGACACGGAACACACTCTCGGAAAACGGTGCTGTTTTTTTTTAAATGGTTGACTTCTTTCGATCGGTGCATGAAATCGATATTCTCCACTTTTCAAGTCGTTTCTCCTCGTGTAGTGTGGACTTAAATTATATATTATTATACCTGTCAATCGATGCCGTAATAATACAATATTACAGGTATCTCAGTATACTTATCTAGAGCTTTGATAATAATTTGTGATTCGTTTATATTCCAAATTTATTATTATACAGTTTGTTTTCCAGCAGTTTGAAAATTTGCGTTGACCACACCGAGTCTGGGTCTCATTACACTTAGATTACCCATCAGTGTATGATCCCAATCGGGAAATTTGTCCTCAGACTATTAATCGGGAATAACAGTATTATAAAATATTGTGTCGAATATCATATTATTATTATGTAGGTACGAAATAACCTGTTTCCTACGATCCCCTGAGGCGCTAACCGTGAAGACATTTGACGACGGGCAAACTGTCTAAAAACTATAACTGCTCTCGTCTTTCACCTCAACATGATGTGCATGTGAGCCTTTACATAGTTTTGTGTGCCACTGAATTCTATAAATATATTACTACTGAGAAATAAATCAAAATACAAAATGACAAAATTATCGCGTTTGTGTACTTGATAGTTTGATACACCAGAAAAATGCATTCATCGCAAAAAAAAAAATGTTCAAGCCTTTGTTTATACGCCACCGTCGTTATAGTTATTATTTTATTCAATGCTGGGAAAGTACGTATTACACGAACTTTCTATAACGGTCTCATTGCGTAAATACTATTAACCCTATACACGCAATAAA